AGTAACTGCTCGCCCATGCACCTGGAGTATGGATATCGTGCAAACGTGTATGGATATCCTGGAGTATGGATATGGATATCCACCGACAGAGCAGACATACAGACATGCTGTAAACGCCATTACACTGCCAATACTATGGCAAATCAAATGGCTATCTATGGTTTTTATCATCGTTCTACAGTTTCCAAAATCTTGAACTGAATGTTGGCAATTTCTCGTGACTACTTCACGACCATGATGCATGCATTTCTGAAATTGATTTTCTTTTCAACCAGCCACGTACTCGTATGATAAAATGAATGTCACCATCGTGTTCTACGCCCAAAAGTACCCATGAAACATGTGTCATGCATGGGCTGCGAATAGGTACCAGTTTTAATTTTCGGGGTTATGTGCTTACCTGATTGACCTGACTTTGACCCTGGCCAGTGGCCTATTTTTGACTGACCCCTACATTGATCTGACACTCTTTTAGCACTTATATGAAGGGTTGTGACAGTTGTGACAGTTGTGACAGATTGTTTAGGACCAACTGATCACTGAATTTATTTAGGACCAACTGATGACGATATAATCGAAACGCGAAACGCGAGGCGAGGTTCTAAAGTCCATGCTACTGAAAGCCCGATTTCAAGTGTTTGACCTGACCTTGACCCGACCTGTAACCTCGAAATTCAACTTTAAAGTATTTATGTGAATCGTCTCGTCGCGTTCTTCTTTCGTTTGCCGCGCCTCGTGCGTTTCGCTGCGCCTATTTGTTCGCGAGTTATCGGCTGGGGCGTTGAACGCCCCCCCCCCCGGCAAACGGCGGATGGGGAAATACCCCAGCAACTGCCGGGTTAATCTGACGCATGTTTTGTCATTTACTCGTCATTTTATTTCTTACTTTTTTTGCCCAATCTAAAAAAATCATAAATACTCTTTCTCCAAATTTTTGACCCTTTATGACCAATAGTAAGACACTGTGCGTCACTACGTTGATATTTCTCGCCCTAAAGCATAACAACAATATCCATTCAGTAATAGCAGTACCTATTCAAAACATGTTCAAAATGCCTCGCGATATCGATAACATAACGAAAGACATAGGCGACTTATAACATACTTGCAATGATGACGTCACACACGCGTGACGTGACGTGACCTCGTCATTTCTGAGTTACTGTATGATGCACGAAAGACACTGGTATACCTATGCAAAGTTTCATCGCAGTCGGTCTACGCATTAACAAGTTATGGGCAAAACATTTTTTCGCGTTGACCCCCGGCCATCCGTGAGGCCGTTTCCAACCATAGTGCAATGTCTCTCAAGTTAGCGTTGAAACATATTCAAGACTGGGGTCCCCCTTCCCCCAAAAAACTTTGAATGCCTCTAGGGGCCAAAGTATAATATGTGGCGAAAAACAGACTTCACCGTTGGAATCAGCGTCCAAAACTGTACCCATGGACCAGTTTTAATGAAAATCTAAGGGGGTCCCCCTTCGCCCAAAAAAAACTTTGAATGCCTCTAGGGGCCAAAGTATAATATGTGGCGAAAAACAGACTTCACCATTGGAATCAGCGTCCAAAACTGTACCCATGGACCAGTTTTTATGAAAATCTAAGGGGGTCCCCCTTCGCCCAAAAAAAAACTTTGAATGCCTCTAGGGGCCAAAGTGTAATATGTGGCGAAAAACAGACTTCACCATGGGAATCAGCGTCCAAAACTGTACACATGGACAAGTTTTTATGAAAATCTAAGGGGGTCCCCCTTCTCCAAAAAACTTTGAATGCCTCTAGGGGCCAAAGTATAATATGTGGCGAAAAACAGACTTCACCATTGGAATCAGCGTCCAAAACTGTACCCATGGACCAGTTTTTATGAAAATCTAAGGGGGTCCCCCTTCGCCCAAAAAAATTTTGAATGCCTCTAGGGGCCAAAGTATAATATGTGGCGAAAACAGACTTCACCATTGGAATCAGCGTCCAAAACTGTACCCATGGACCAGTTTTTATGAAAATCTAAGGGGGTCCCCCTACCCCCAAAAAACTTTTAATGCCTCTAGGGGCCAAAGTATAACATGTGGCGAAAAACAGACTTCACCGTTGGAATCAGCGTCCAAAACTGTACACATGGACCAGTTTTTATGAAAATATAAGGGGGTCACCCTTCGCCCCAAAAAATCTTTGAATGCCTCTAGGGGCCAAAGTATAATATGTGGCGAAAAACAGACTTCACCATTGGAATCAGCGTCCAAAACTGTATCCATGGACCAGTTTTTATGAAAATCTAAGGGGGTCCGAATGTGATTCTGAAAGTGAATCTGAATGCCTCTAGGGGCAAAGTATAATATGTGGCGAAAAACAGACTTCACCATGGGAATCAGCGTCCAAAACTGTACACATGGACAAGTTTTTATGAAAATCTAAGGGGGCCCCCCTTCCCCAAAAAACTTTGAATGCCTCTAGGGGCCAAAGTATAATATGTGGCGAAAAACAGACTTCACCATTGGAATCAGCGTCCAAAACTGTACCCATGGAACAGTTTTTATGAAAATCTAAGGGGGTCCCCCTTCGCCCAAAAAAAACTTTGAATGCCTCTAGGGGCCAAAGTATTATATGTGGCGAAAAAACAGACTTCACCATTGGAATCAGCGTCCAAAACTGTACCCATGGACCAGTTTTTATGAAAATCTAAGGGGGTCCCCCTTCCCCAAAAAACTTTGAATGCCTCTAGGGGCCAAAGTATAATATGTGGCGAAAAACAGACTTCACCGTTGGAATCAGCGTCCAAAACTGTACCCATGGACCAGTTTTAATGAAAATATAAGGGGGTCCCCCTTCGCCAAAAAAAAACTTTGAATGCCTCTAGGGGCCAAAGTATAATATGTGGCGAAAAACAGACTTCACCATTGGAATCAGCGTCCAAAACTGTACCCATGGACCAGTTTTTATGAAAATCTAAGGGGGTCCCCCTTCGCCCAAAAAAACTTTGAATGCCTCTAGGGGCCAAAGTATAATATGTGGCGAAAAACAGACTTCACCATTGGAATCAGCGTCCAAAACTGTACCCATGGACCAGTTTTTATGAAAATCTAAGGGGGTCCCCCTTCCCCAAAAAACTTTGAATGCCTCTAGGGGCCAAAGTATAATATGTGGCGAAAAACAGACTTCACCGTTGGAATCAGCGTCAAAAACTGTACACATGGACCAGTTTTTATGAAAATCTAAGGGGGTCCCCCTTCGCCCCAAAAAAACTTTGAATGCCTCTAGGGGCCAAAGTATAATATGTGGCGAAAAACAGACTTCACCATTGGAATCAGCGTCCAAAACTGTACCCATGGACCAGTTTTTATGAAAATCTAAGGGGGTCCGAATGTGATTCTGAAAGTGAATCTGAATCTGAGGCTGTCTTGACAGACGTATGCAACGAATATTGTCCTGGTGGCCTAAGAACACGTTTTGGGCAATCAGTCTCAGTCCATTCTTCGGAAACTACGGCTCAAGGCCGATACTGTAGAAACCTGCATTTTGTACCCTTGACCTGACCTTGACCTGACCTCTGACCTACTTAAGCAAAAAAAAATTGGCTCTAAAGATCTGCCTTGTTGAGAGCTTTCGATTGCCGTTTTCCCCGTCTTTCAACGACAATCGGTTCGGAAGTTAGACAGGGGGTGGGCAGAATCTGCCCCCCCCCCCCCCCCCAGCAGGGCGCGTATGGCTGAATACTGAATAGCCCAGCGGGGCGCGGGTTAAGTCCCCACTCCCGTTTACTGGCCGGGGTAAATGAAGAGAGCTACTTTGTCTGGTGAGGGTTATTACTTAGGGGATATACCTACCTAATTTTGAGCCATGCCATTTATCTCCCAGACTCCCGTCTCCGTAGGGCGCAATCTGGCAGCTGATCGGCGACTCTGAGCTGTCTCCCTCCCCTCAGTGGAAGTTGGCCCCATAAGGTCTGCCCCATAGGAAACCATATCGCCCTAAGAGGCCCCGACTCCGATAGGAGTGGTGGACCTCGAGTTTGCACAACCGCCGCCGCCGCGACTGTTTTGCCGGGGCAGTTAGCACCCACGCATCACACCCGTGGTGAAATCTTCGCGCAGTGCTGCTATTAGAGTCCATTGAACATACATTACTCATGAAGCGTTTTGCGCCCACAAACGCTTATGTATATAACATGGCACACTCTTACGCACCCTTGTGACGTTTTAAGACGAAAACATGAAGCGGAGACGCGCAACTGTTCGTCTTTGCGTGTTGAAGTTCGACGTTCGTCTTCGCGTCAGCGGTATCAATAAATTGTCCCCTTAATGTGTCCTGAAGCCATGGAACACTGCTAAGGGGACGGCAAGGGGAGCCGAATTGCGACAAACACGATTGATGTGACCAGTCTATAGCTGGAACTATGACCACGTCGCTGCTAGCTGCGCACATCTGTCCGGACATTAGGCTGAACATCGTGAGCCATGCATAATGCAGGTTGCTGTCGCCGCTGAAGACTGTAAATGAAGTTTTCTTTCTGGGAGGTTTGTTCAACATCTTTACAACACGGTCTGACCTTACGAGTTCCAGATTGCGATGCGTGCAGGCTGCAGCTCTGTCGCTGTGAATCCGTCTGGATCCCGAGCGGCGGGAGTTTCCCCCCGGCGCGGCGGGGCGGTCCTATGGCGCCCTCCGCCGAACCGTTACCCAACATCCGTCATTACCCCACGCCGGGCGCCCGATGGACATTAACCGCCTACTGCTACACGCGAGCACGCGCCTCGCGCAACCGAGAATCGCAAACGAAAGGGACAACGCCCAGTGTGCCAACCCGTCTCCAAACTCGCCGGATTAAACCGAGACCCAGATGATATCTGGCCGACTGCGCCCGCGCCCGCGGCCAGTCGGTTTTGTGCGGTATGCGTGGGTGTGCGGCCGGGCGCGCTCGGTCCACTCGGGGCAGGGTCAGGCCGTGTCATGACCCAGTTGGGTGAGTCCACAGCGCGGTCAGCCGAGGTCAGGCGGGGGCGGCGGACGCTGCGCGCGCGCCGCACGGGGGCGGCCGCCGGGAGAAAGTGTCGAGCTGCCGGCAGCGGCGGCTGAGCGCCGGCCGCCAGTGGTCATCACGCTGGTGGGCAGAGGTGTGCGCGGCGACGGGCCGCCCGTGCAGCTCTGTGTGTGTGTGTGAGACGTTGCACAGTGCAGAGTGAGGACCAGTGGGGACTCGTGGTGACCACTGAGGACCGGCGGGACCAGCGGGGACCGGCGGTCGGACCGCGCGCAGCCGCACCATGCAGGTGAGTCTGGGGTCACGGCGGTACGGCGGGCGGCACCACGTGAGACCGGCACTGGCCAGACGGTCCGGCGGCCAGCCCAGCAAACCTGCACGTCACGCCAGACCAATATGTCATCGCGGCCGCCCATTGAATGTGTGTAAAGCGCTAATCATAGTTCCTCTAGCAGTCAAAGGATCAGAGAGACGTATCATTTCAGCAGAAACGTAGCATATAGGTACAAATTATTGTGACAAGACGTTTTAGGGCAAGTCGTGTGACGTTGAGTGGTTAAGGTCACGAGTAGGCATAATGATTTGATTGCTATAAAGGCATGATAAGATCAACACTTCATTTGAAAGATATTGTGGCTATGGAGGCCGGTGCTGTAGGTCTGGAGACTTACCTACAGACGACCTAACTTATATACTTTAAGATTTAAACGGTCGCTACAAAAATGCTATTTAATTGAGAATCGATTTTTTTTTATCGTTTCTGTACAGCCAATGACTAAAAGTGCAATAGCACTGAGAAAAGCATGAATATTGAATGTTTTATGAATGCTCTAAGTATATGAGAAGTCACTATGGGACGTCAAAACGCAAAGGCGTTTTGGCTTCATCGCAATTCCCACGTCTTTGAAGATGAAGCTATCAGTGACTATGCTCTTGCCAAACGGGTAAAGCCGATGATATTGGCAAAAGTGTGTATTGTGGCCAAGCGGGCGCAAACTTTTGCCTCCTTGCTACACATATCTATGTATATGCTGCTGTCATTCTTGTTTATGTCCATCATGCTTATCTTCAAACAGCATCCATGTATGTAATTATATCTCATGCGACCGGCTTCGATTAGCTACCTAACTACCTACTGCATAACATCAACTATATGTGTGATGTGTCATTCAGAGGTTCACGGCTGAAGTGAAATCATCTTTGATCGGAGTAATACAGGCATTAATGTAGAGGTCTGCACCGGCCGGCTGCAGCCGCGGCTGGCTGCAGCCCCACGGCTGTGGGCCGGGGCGGCTGCAAATATCTCCAAGAACACGGCTACGGCTGTGGCCACGGCTGTGAGATTTCAAGCTCAATCTTAAGTACTCCAATATAAAATTTTAAATCCTTAATCTCACATTCTGATAAGCAGTCTAGCCTGTAAAAATCATGCAAAGGATGCCCAGCAACATTGAAAGTGGTGAAGCCTTTGAAAACCTGTAATGGTTTTACCATTTGTTGTAGGGGAGTTTGCACTCTGGTACAGAATACTAATTATAGGTACCAATTGTTCCTTCATCATCAAGAGCTTGACAGTTTCAGAAAATGCAGCATGTTGCATTGTCACATCCCTCTCAAATCAATCTCACCTGGTCATTAGGAGAGCACCTTACAGCTATTGAAGACAGCATTCAAAAATTCTTTCAGGTAATAGAAAAAGAAATCACGCCTAGGTAAAGGCAGGTAAATGCTTCATAAAATATTATCTAAAATAACTCTTAGATGTATTTCTGGATTTTCGGCAAGTCCAACTTCCGTTACATCACGTTACATAATTACATAATATAAAACTGGCGCTTTATGTTCTAACTGGTGTGTGAGTGACCGCTAACAGAAAATGCTGATCAACGAAGCCAATGGAATTAGATTATAAGTGAACATGAACCTTACTTACGGTTAATTCACATGATGGTGAAAACCCTGAACACGTAATTCACATGACGGTGAAAACCCTGAACACAATATTTCTTACGCGAGCTGTTGACTTTACTAATAAAATGACGTCTTCTTCTAAAAATGTAAAAATTTGATACTTAATCTTTATTTGAGAGCAAGTTTTAAACTGTATAGCATTATTATTTATTAATTATATTTTTTATGGCTGTTTATAGTGACACAAAAACAATTTGTTGCCATTTCTTTGCTATTGACGCCATTAAAAACTCAAGTAAAATTTTTGATTAAAAGAGGTAATTGTGGCTCGCACGTCCTTGGGGATTTGAGCGAAGATCATTATTTGGAAAAATCAAAATAGAAGAATGTTTTTCTTTCTTGGATGCTCACTAGTGTTTTGATGCCTTGCATATCAAATTAGTTTGAGACTTGCCCAGAAGGCTGCTTCAAGTCTGGCATATCACACCCCAGAAAATATGCAAGGTAAGAAAGAAGCAAGAGTTTTGACTAGACAATCACTGTTTGACAGTCCATCAACTTCAGTTTCATTTTCCATACCTAACATTGATAATGAAAAGCATCAGGGTCTGTTGTTCTGTCCCACAACCATGCTTCAGGATTTGGCATTAGATGTCTACACTGCTAGTGCTTCTATTCTGGTTCGTTGTTTATGTTTTCTGTTGATGTAGGTACCTACCTACCCATCTTTCTTAACTCCTTGCAAGGGCTTGTGTAGGCATGCGTTGCGCATCAGGCTTCAGGCCTTCGGCCTAAAGCCAGATACACAACCACTTAACCTATGATGCTTCATGAGCTTGAGAATCTATAGCCCATTGCAATGTGCTTTTGGCTATATGTTTCAACTAAAAACAACTTATTATATACTATTTGGTAGCATTTCATTGAAAGTATCCACGGCCGGCTGACGGCTGGCTGCCCACAGTTTGCCACGGCTGTGGGCGGCTGTGGCTGTGGAGCCACGGCTGCGGGGCGGCTAGGCTGTGGAAAATTGCAGCCGTGCAGAACTCTACATGATTAATGTGACCTTAGAACAGCAGTGGCAGGTTTGACAGCATTTTTATAATTGGTTGAAGGTCTTGAGTCAGCACTGAGAACAGGTTACCACACAAACCAGTTTATTGCAAACTGGACTAGAATGCACTAACTCAGCGTAACAGAATTGAAGAACGTATAATAAAAATTTAGTAATTGTGTTATGCGATTATTCAACAATGTATACATTGTGACAACTGGCAAGCCGCGGTTACTGTTGGTAACCTCGTGACATTAATATTTGTGTTGCACGTTATAAATAACTGTAACCACGCTGTCCTGTCCGTGGCCCTCCCAGATCACACCGATGAGCTTCGTGTATGACAATACATAATAGGTACAAATACCTATCATAGGTGGCGGAACGGGGGGCAGGGGGGGGGGGGTGCGCCGGGGCACCGTACCCACTCTTCATTTTGCCAATTGTTTTGAAATTCCCATTTCAGTAGTATTCGCTCAAGAGAGTGCGGGTTACCTAACGGTGGAACGGATTACGGAGGAACAGGCTAGTTAGTAAAAGATGAGGGAAACACCCTTGGAAACACCTATGTATAAACAAAAGTTACTCGGTCCGCTTGCCGCTCATTTCTTTACGTGGTGTGTTTGTTTCTCTGTTCCTCAAAGTTGCAACGGCGCTCCGGAAAGGAGCAACATCGAAACGGACCGTCGACTATATTTGATATTTATATCGAATGATGCCAATGGTCTTATTGTGTACCGTAAGGTGGAGCTTTTTGAGACATTAGGGCTATTTGAGACAGTATGAAGTGGTTTTGTAAAATCGTGATACCTAAAATGATAGGTAACCGTCATATATGTAGGTAATTATTTGTCGTTTTTGCTCAGGCAATTCCCCGTTTGATTCCACGCCAATCTGAACAAAAATGACAAAAAAATTTAATGGTTTTCATTTGATAGCGATTTTTCTAAACCACTACATTCTAACTCTGTTTACATAGCATTTAGACATTTCCCTAGCTGGCCTAGAGATATCACAAAACTGGCCAGTGACCTTTTGCAACTACACAAGTGACTGTATTCAGTGCTACGAGGAGCACTTTTTCGGAATTCAGGCATGATACATCAATAAATTGCAATAAATAGGTTATTTTCGGCTCGAAAAAAGGGTACTATTTCATGCGTACAAAGACTACTTGCAAGCACCATATCTGCTGCCATATCTCCCTGCACCCCTTCGTAAACACTTTGCCATATTAGCTAAATCAAGCTATATAAATCACAATATATGCAGATATTCCTTACAAAAACAAAATATAAAGCGATATATAATATAAACAAAAGTAAGATATAAAAGGCTGTAAAGAAAAACATCTTAGAAAACAAGTATTTGGCCCACCACTAATATCGAGTACTGCTGTCTCTCGGCAGACAGCTCTGCTTTCTGATTGGTGGAAATCAAGGCTAACTAGTGCTGGGCAACGAAGTTATGACCAAGTACAGCATGCTTAGGAACGATGATGACGTAGTTGGGGGTGGTAGATTTAGCGTGAAGACCCACCAACAGATTATTTCCTGTCTTATTACTATTGGCAAAAATAGCGAAGTTGGGTTTATCAACAACAGCATTAAGGGTTCTTTTCTGAAAATATAAAAGGATTCATCAGACTTTTCTAAAAACATCAAAATATGACTTCTAAGTGGATCACCTGAACCGCTACAAAATAGCTTGAACGCCGTGGCTCCCTAATGACGTCATTTTCTGATTAGCAAATCAGCGCCGAGCAAGGCTTACTCTGATTGGTCAGAGAAATATCGGGAGTTTTATGTTGAGGGGACCGGAGTGCGCCTTTGGTTAGGAATTTTTCACGGCGGTGGTAAAATCCTCTGGCATATGCTCTGGCTTGTCTAGCAGTGCCATCTATAATAGAAGTCTTCAACTAGCAGTTTGGCACTTATGATCGCCTAGATGACGCTACCAATCGGTTTAGGTATTTGTTTGACTTGATGAATGAGTGCAACGTGATTAAATAGGTAATTACTGACTCTCGAATCTGCTTAGAAAGTCATTTAGAGCGTATGTGATACTTGCTACCAAATATCTTACGCACTCAGTTTCTGCTTGGTGTTTCCATGCCTTTTGAATCGATCAAGAAAATGTCACTGCTCAGAGGTTGAAGGTAAGCGGGAAAAGGGGTGTTACATATTTGATCTTTCTATAAATGAATGCAGAATATGAATAAATGCAATCCACTAAATATAAGCTGCAAGGAGTGCATCGAACTCAACAATCAGCTTTATTTTCATCGCTTTCATGGAAACAACTTAGTCTTATGCTTAAATGTTGGGTAAAAACTTTGCAATATTCCACTCATATGATGCCCAAATGTACGACGTACAATTCATTTGAAGCCCATGCGTCGTTTATTATCAAAACTACATAACATGAAGAGCATCATAAACTTGGCAGGCTTTTTCTATTTGGTGGCCAGAACTCCATTACCACATTTCTAGATTTTGTGTTTGCTGCGCAGCATTTGTCGACATGGCGGAGGCCGAACACCTGAAAGTAGATCGAGCTGGCATGTGAATCTGGCAACTCCTATGTAAACGGGGCTTCTGTCTCAAATAGCTCTACTGTCTCAAACAGTCCCACCTTGCGGTATCTACTATCTGGCGTGTTTAGCTGACATGGCGGCGCTCCGTACAGGTGCGCGCCTGGTGTCTGCTACTGATCTTGGCATCCTGCACGTCCACGTACGACTACATCGACCAGTTCGTCGACGAACTGCTCCTCTCCCGGCCTGGTAAGCAGACGACTTTCATATGGGCACAATTGTGTATTTCCAGTTTCCACTCCACACATATCTACAGGACGGAGCGGGGACGGCATGCCTCGAGACACGACGGGACGGCCGAAAAAAAATTGTCAGTTTACAGCAGGCCATACATATGATCTGTTTTAATTATTTCAAAATTAATAGGCATGATTGCAGCAAGACAGTAAAAGACCATAGGCGCGGGAGCCGGGGGGGGCAGTGGGGGCAGCTTGCCCCCCCCCCCCCAACTCTGGGGCCGTGGGGGCGGTGCCCCCACAGCTTTGAGACGGAATACCACACTTTTTTTTGCAAATGTGTTCTTTTTTGTTGAAAAAGCCGAGGGGTGGAAAATAAGTGGCCTAAAACCGGTGAGAAAACTAGATTTGGGGGTACCCTAGGTTAATCTCTATTATGGTGTGCCCCCCAGTCGGAAAGTAGTTCCCGCGCCCCTGTAAAAGACTGCAGTGCTCGAACTGTGATTGGATTCTTTTAACATAAAACAACAGTTAGGTATTTATGTTACGCAAAACGCATTAAATTTAAATGTCAAATTAAAGGCAATGATAACAATCTCCAGGCAATATACGCAGGGTTTATTTCTACTGCACTCGTCCGCTAAATCCGGTATAGGAGTACAGGAGGTTGAGGCCTCCCACAGAGCTAACTGGGGCGGGCTGCAGTCTGCAAGGTGATCGAGAAAAACAGGTCCTGCCGGGTTGTGAAACGCCGGCTCGAAACAGCCGTCACCGCAGGGAACGTGTTTGACACATCATGACATGTAGACAGTCGAGCCTGGCTAACCTTGACCGGGCTGCCACCAGAGGATTAGGGTATCGAGATGTGATTCCACGGTTGGCATGTGGTAAATGATGGAGTAATCTGAACACAGGCCTGCACTTATCGGACGGAGGGATGGTTGGATAAGAAAGAGATGGCATGCAGTCAGCGGGAATGGTCGCGTTAAAGAGAGAGAGAGAGAGAGAGAGAGAGAGAGAGAGAGAGAGAGAGAGAGAGAGAGAGAGAGAGAGAGAGAGAGAGAGAGAGAGAGAGAGAGAGAGAGAGAGAGAGAGTGAGAGAGAGAGAGAGAGAGAGAGAGAGAGAGAGAGAGAGAGAGAGAGAGAGAGAGAGAGAGAGAGAGAGAGAGAGAGAGAGAGAGAGAGAGAGAGAGAGCGCTGGACCCGAATAATTACGTTAAATGGGATCTTTAGTACATACCTAACAATTACGGCCAGTTGCGCCTTAATACATCCTTATGTTAAAGGGACCCTCCCACCTTTAACAAAGTTAAGGATTGGCATAAAAGTGATGTCCCGTGGTTCAGAAAGATAAAAAAATGAATATCTACCAAATTTCACCGAAAAATGCACTGGTTTTCAAGATACCTACCTATTAGACCTTTACTTTTATTTACTTTTGGGACCTCCGCTGTTCCTACGACGTCATTTGGAAGCAATAATTTGGCACCCTGAAAGTGCGTCAGATGTTGCGCGCAAAACAGTATAAGCCACATTATAGATTTCAATGATAAACCACCGCATTTTAACGATGGTTTTAGCATCAAGTTTAAAAATCGTTAGATCTGCGCTGACGTCACAAGTTCTAAAGGGGCATTAAAATGCCCCCTTAGAATCTGAAAACTGCAAGTTTGATATTAAATATCTCCGAATTAAAGCAATTCTCGATGTTGTGAGTGCCCAAACCGATAAGTGCAGGCCACGGACCCCAATTTTGCTATCTCATCACGAAGGGAAAACAGTCAAACAGGTACATTTATAAAAAAAAAACTCGCATCTTATCGGAGCGGAAGTTCTCCGACGCCCAATCGGCAAAGATGCACAATATAGACTGGACGGACTCCCGGGCTGAGAGGGGCGCGATCTGTGCTGGACGGACTCCCGGGCTCAGAGGGGCGCCGAGACTGAACGGACGGCCAGCCACGACCCCGCTGAGCCTGTCGAAATACTGTGATTGGACGGCGGCCGGTGTCCGGGATTAGTTGTGTCGTAACGTTTCAGCTGTATCGGCTGGCAAGCTCAGCTTCACCCGCCGAGCTATATAAGTCCACGTAATGACGTAAAATGGAGGCAGCAATGCGAATGTGCAGGGGCCCGAATGCCGCAAATGATTTTCTAAGTGGCTCAGTATGACTCATTCGATCCTACATGTCAGTGGTGATAAACTGCGTGTGCTGTTATTCCCAATCCGGTCTGTAGACTGGAGTTGCTGCGTGTATCAGCTGGGGCTGGGGGTACGGTGGGGGAGGAACCGCCAACAACTGAGTTCCGATGATCGGGTGTCCCGGGCTTTGTCAGTGCTGCTAGGATAGTCACGTGGTATTTAAAGGGTCATGAGCTTTGGAGGGGACGGTGGCCACCCTGCACCTTCTGCGACCTCCAGTGCCTGACACTGACAGTGCCCGCGCGGAGAAAAGCTGTGCTAATACGGGAGTGCATAACTGCACGGGTGTACATACAAACATTTGTCATCTGCCACTGCATCGACAGATGTCTATCGTCTGTCTCCGTCCCACAGTATATCGCGCGGTACCATCTGCAGCCGCAGAGCATTGCTATGCTGCCCTGGCGGACCGCTCCCCGTATGAGGCGCCAGGCGCGGAGGTCAGTTGGACAGGGGCGCGAAAAGGTGTCGGCGACGCGCCGTTAACGTCTGATTGACGCGCCTGAGAGGAATTCAATCATAGTTTCACACGCCTCGGCCCACTGGCGGATCCAGGGGGGCCACGGGGGCCATGCCCCCCCCCCCCAAAGGCCTAAAGTGTCCTGTTTGCCCCCCCAAAAAAACGTCAGAAAAATTGCTAAGAAAATATACCTTGATGGAGGTTTTTAGCCACTTGGTGAAGTAAAGCTTTCCACAGCATAATATGGAAGCAATATGGTAGCATTGAAGGTCAGTCAAAAGTTGCGCGAGCGGAGTCGACCTTAAAAAAAAGACTGTTGTTGGCACGTGTTTATGGCGCGGCAGCTGGTAGTTGGCGGTGTTTCGCGTGGTGTGGCATCACTGGCGGATCCGTGGGGGGGGGGGGGGGGGGCACGGGAGCCTGAGGTGCCCCTAACAGGCCCGTGCACTATGGTTGGAAACGGCCTCACGGATGGCCGTGGGCAATTTCGGAATATATGTATATTTGGGGTGTCATTCTGTTGGAAATTGATGAAATGTTTTGAATTGGGCAGAAAAAATTATTTAGTTGCGCATTTAGTCTCCATTATTGTACGTGGAATCGGGAGTTTCTGATAGTGGCTTTTTTGGTGCGCCGTCAAAGGTTTAAACAACCGCGCGGGTGATAGCATATGGAGTACCTCCATGACGTTGTAAAACTGGATTATTATATATCAAAATAATTCTTGTTATGTTGGCTATCGAGTGGAGTGACTCTTTTTCCCATGCGTGTTCAAAATCAGGAACGGCATTGCATTCTGTTTGCAGTGTCACCACAGCAATATTTGCAAAATTACGTTAATGTTTCATTGGACATACAAAAAGTTCTCCATCGACCTCCATTGAGCTTTTTGGCAGAATAAATCTCTGTTCAATTCTGCGTAAGGGGAACGTAAAAGCAGACTGCGCACTTGTGCGCAAAATCGTCCGTGAAGCTTCATCTCCCGAGGCGTACCTACCCGTCGCTTCGTTAGCACCAGGTCGGCTCGTCAGTCTTGCAATCGCTTATCCTTATAAATGATGGTAAGAAGCAGGGTTGCGGAGTCGTGGTGGCACCAAATCTGACTCCGACTACGACTCCGACTCCTGACTCGTTGCCATGACTCCGGCCGACTCTGTCTCCGACTCCGGACCCCTTGCCAGTGTTTCGGAGTCGTGATGGAGCTGTTCCGATTCGGACCGACTCCGACCTCCACTGCGGGCTCCTGACCGACCCCGACTCCGACTCCGACTCCGACTCCTGGCTCGTTGCCACGACTCTGGGCGACTCTGACTCCGACTCCGACTCTGACTCCGACTCTGACCTCGACTCCGCACCCCTCGTAAGAAGTAACTGCTCGCCCATGCACCTGGAGTATGGATATCGTGCAAACGTGTATGGATATCCTGGAGTATGGATATGGATATCCACCGACAGAGCAGACATACAGACATGCTGTAAACGCCATTACACTGCCAATACTATGGCAAATCAAATGGCTATCTATGGTTTTTATCATCGTTCTACAGTTTCCAAAATCTTGAACTGAATGTTGGCAATTTCTCGTGACTACTTCACGACCATGATGCATGCATTTCTGAAATTGATTTTCTTTTCAACCAGCCACGTACTCGTATGATAAAATGAATGTCACCATCGTGTTCTACGCCCAAAAGTACCCATGAAACATGTGTCATGCATGGGCTGCGAATAGGTACCAGTTTTAATTTTCGGGGTTATGTGCTTACCTGATTGACCTGACTTTGACCCTGGCCAGTGGCCTATTTTTGACTGACCCCTACATTGATCTGACACTCTTTTAGCACTTATATGAAGGGTTGTGACAGTTGTGACAGTTGTGACAGATTGTTTAGGACCAACTGATCACTGAATTTATTTAGGACCAACTGATGACGATATAATCGAAACGCGAAACGCGAGGCGAGGTTCTAAAGTCCATGCTACTGAAAGCCCGATTTCAAGTGTTTGACCTGACCTTGACCCGACCTGTAACCTCGAAATTCAACTTTAAAGTATTTATGTGAATCGTCTCGTCGCGTTCTTCTTTCGTTTGCCGCGCCTCGTGCGTTTCGCTGCGCCTATTTGTTCGCGAGTTATCGGCTGGGGCGTTGAACGCCCCCCCCCCCCCCGGCAAACGGCGGATGGGGAAATACCCCAGCAACTGCCGGGTTAATCTGACGCATGTTTTGTCATTTACTCGTCATTTTATTTCTTACTTTTTTTGCCCAATCTAAAAAAATCATAAATACTCTTTCTCCAAATTTTTGACCCTTTATGACCAATAGTAAGACACTGTGCGTCACTACGTTGA